ACAACATAGGTTTGCTCCCCACAAAGGGATAAGAATGCTTGTAGCCAGCTTCCAGCAGGAAGAAACTGCTTCATTCCCAGCTCTGCCTTGGTTTTTGGACTTGAGGCATCACCGTTACCTGCATGTGAAGGCAGATGTTGCACTGTGGTCCTAATACACAGAGTGATTCTTATGCCAAGTGTGTCATTGGGTACAGACTGGCATCAGGGATGATGGCACTGGGGATAGACCCAGGCTGGAGAAACTGGGTAGGTCTGGAACAACAGGCTTGTTTTGCTTATGAAACTTGCCATATTTTGGAGAGATGAGGATGTCTCTGCTTTAAAGCTCTGTAAAAGCCTTTTTCCTGACCCCAGTTCCCTATGCATGTTGGTTGCAGCAGGAGAGAGCTCCAGAAAGGAGCAGACTTGGTTGCTGAGATAAGTCTCTGTCAATGCTCACGAGGATATGAGGCAGCAGCCAGCAGAGGGGATCCCCCTGGAACAGCTGGATCCCAAGGAACAGCCGGATCCCAAGGAACAGCCTCATCTCAAGCTGTGCCCATGGGCAATGCACCCGAGCCCAGTGCCACCTCCCTAGTGGTGACCCGCACCTGCACTCAACACAGACACAGCGGCCAAGAGCAGAGGGGTTATGCTGATAGCATCCGCTCCAGCACATCACAGCCCCAAAACTGCTCTTCCTTATCCCAAACTGCCCCATCACAGGGTCACCAATACCTAGCCCCAAGCACCATGCTGGGGACACATGGCCAGGCTATCCCTCACTGTTCTGAGGTGCACCATGGCTGTTGGTAGCCACATCCATGGCTGATCCTCTCCCAGATTTAGCTATTCTGCCCTTAATCACAGCCTGGGACAGACACTAACACTTAACTGTGTATCCTGTCAACTGAGGGTTGTTTTTAGTTTGCTACTTGTTTTGCTTCCTGCGTGAGGGCCAACAAGGCCACACACAGCCCCTCAGAAGCTTTAACACCAAAGCAGAATCTTCCCCAGGGAAAACTATCCTCGTCATCTGCACTGATCACTGCATGAGGCTTGGCCTTCCATCCACCACATGGTTTCCATCACTCGGCTCTGCTATCGCTAGCTTGGATAAGAGTTGAGATAAGACGCCCAGCCTTGAACATTGTTCCAATGAGTAAGATGATGCTGATGTGCCGAGAACTGGCTTTCCCTTTCACCCATGTTCCATGGGATGAGGGGCTTTACAACACTTCCAGCCAGCCCTCCTGAGCTAGGGATGCTTTTTGGGGGAAACATAGTTTTGGGGGTGAAAGCTGTTTGGTATCTGCTCTCTAGCAGCATCCTAATTCAGAGTGAGTGGGCAGGTCCCTGGAAACACTTAACAGCAGGGAAAAGGGAACAGGGTGTATGGATGCCCAGGACCCATCACTGCCCTCTTCCCTTTCCTCTCACCTCCCAGCCCAGAGTGCCTGACCACACCAGAGGAAACAGGAGGAGAAAGCTGGCTGCTGGCCACAGTCAACACCAAGCAGGGCTATGTGGCACTAGGGATGAACGGAAGCTTCTGGGCAGTGGGATACCACCAGTGCTGCCACACCTCCTGCCCTGCCCCAACCGGGCTGTCCCCTCCCTGGCCTTTGGGCTGAGCAAGACATCCGCTGCTCCTGCCACAGGAGCAGAAAGCAAAGCTGTTGTCTAGAAAGCACATTATCCAGGAAGGAATCATCACTTCCACCTTCCCTTCCCAGCCAGGGACCCCCCCTGGTCCTCAGCAGTTTGAGCAGATAGATTTGCAGTGCTCCTGAATACATGTGCCTTCAGAGCAATTTTATCCTAGCATCAGTCACTTCTGCCCTCTTTCCTCTCTCCCTGCACTGCCTGTCTCTCATAAGCAGAAAAGTTTAGACAAACATAGATAAGTACTTTAAAATAACAAGCTCTTAAGTAAAAACAACAGGAAAACCAAACACTGTACTTGCAGAGAAGTTTCCATGGACAAGAAACACTTTTCCACTCCCTGACCAGACTTGGGGATAAAGGAATGCTCTATGCAAGCAGTGCCACTTGCTGTAGCGAGAAGTAAGACAGCAGTGGCCTTCTGCATAGCTAAAACCCTCAGAAACAAACTGCACCTTTGGGCTCCTCAGGACACACATACCTAATGCTGAAGCTCTTGTGCATCCTGGGATGCATCAAGAAGAGTGTGGCTAGCAGGTCAAGGGAGGTGGTCCTCCCCCTCTGCTCTGCCCTGATGGAGCCTCACCTGGAATACTGCATCCAGCTCTGGGCTCCCTAGTACAAGGGAGACACAGAGCTCCTACAGCAAGTCCAGCAAAAAGCTACTACGACAAGTAAGGGTCTGGAGCATCTTTCATGTGAGGAAAGGCTGAGGGAGCCAGGCTTGTTCAGCCTAGAGAAAACTCTGGGGATCTGATCAATGTGTGTACGTATCCAGAGGGAGAGGGTCAAGAGGATGAGGCTGGGCTCTTCTCAGTGGTGCCAGGGTATAGAACAAGAGGCAATGGGCATAAACTAAAACACAGGAAGCCCACCTGAACACAAAGAAAAACTTCTGTACCATAAGGGCAATTGAGCACTGGAATAGGTTGCCCAGAGCAGTTGTAGAGTCTTCTGCCCTGGAGATAGTCAAGAGTTGCCTGGACACAATCCTGAGCAATGTGCTCCAGGAGACCATGCCTGAGCAGGTAAACCCCTAGTGGTCCCTTTCAGCCTCAACTGGTTTGATTCTGTAAACATCTAAGCCTCCTAGGAAGCATTTATATGCGATGGAGTACACGCATGCTAGGACTTACTCACACCAGCTAAATGTTACTGAAATATAGGACGCAGGATGTCACAGACACTGAACAGCTCCCACACCCTCACCAGCCAGACATCCTGGGGCCCTTTGGAGGACAAATACTTCCCCCCATGATGCACAAGCAGCACAAGACTTCTCAGGCAAGTGGACAAAACCAGATGGAAGCGTTTGAACCAGACCCTGGCAAGCACTAGTGTATGCTGGTGCCTGCAGAGAAAGCATGGAAATCCTGGAAGTTCTGTCTGAAGGTGGGGAAAGGTGGAGGACCCCAGCTCTGCACAAAGCCAGGGGGGGAAAGGAAGGAAGCAGAGTTGCTTGCTGTGATTTGAGGCTTTCTTTCCTGTTCTGATTCTTACCCTTGTAAAAGCTGGGGCTTTGCAGTTGCTGTTGTTGTTCTGCACAGCACTAGCTCTCACAGGAGTGCAGACCCACAATGAAAACTAAAACAACCAAAGGAAGGAAAAGAATTAGCAGGAAAAACAGCAGCAGGAACAAGTACTCATGCCTGAAATAAATGCACTGCCTGCTGCTAGGGGTGCAGGTAGGAAAGGTTACACCACCTTCTCCTGGAAAGTTGAGGCTTTGGTGTTAAATCCCAGCTTTTGGCTTTACTGCTACAGGTGGGCACTGGCAGCATGACTGTGCACCAGTGGAATAGCAAGGCAATCAAACAGACCTTTGAGGGGCCGAGATAACACGGAACAGCCCCATGCACAGGGATATTGAAGGAGATTTTCTTTGAATTCTGAGGTTTCTTAGAAATCAAATCTAAGGAGGGAAGTGCAGACAGAGCTGCCTACACACACCGGCAAAGAGGCTGTCATCAAGTGGGCTGATACTCAGCCTCAGCTGGGATTAAAGCTCACACTTACAGATTTGGAGGAAGACAAGCATTGAGAACAAAGGCTTGGCATCCCAGGTTTGTCTTGTCCCCCTCTCAGCTGACCCCGAAGCCCCCACTTTGCTCTGCCAAGGCAGATGTACAGAGCATCCAACAGGAAACCTTCCCGGTGTTGCTGCTTCCTTTGCGTCAGCTCCCGCTGAAGGGTTGGGTGGGACATTGCTAGACCAAGGGCACACACAAGGGCCGGGCCAGAGCTGCTCTCCCCCAAGCTCATGTAGGAGCTACTTAAAAGTCCACAATGAAGAAAACCAAACACCACAAAACAACCTACCTCAAGTGTCCTGCTGCTGCTGCTCCCAGCAAACACCTCCATATAGAAAAAAAAACAGATCTCATCCAAATCCCAGGCATGGCACAAGGTATAAGGCTGTAAGGATCTCACTTTATAGTTACTGAGAGCTCAGAGGGAAGCAGCAGAATGCTGTGTTACACCAACTCATTTCTCTTGCTGCCTACATCCCTGTCAGTAAAGCAGAAGTCTGCCTGACACAGGCATCTCTGAGAAATTGTTTAGCTACCAACCCTGAAGAACTTATGGAGATGAGCATCTTCTGATCAGGATACATAAGCAGAGTCTTCATGACAGAAACCAGAGCAGCACAGGAACCTCCCCACTGGGTTACCAGACTCTCAAGTAGTTCAAATAAAGCAGCTACAAAGCTTTTGCTGGTATTACCAGCTGTAGTTTCACCCTTTACAGCAGCTCACAGCTTAGATCGTGGAAAAGACCATTCCCTGTTAGCTGTTCCAGGGCTGAAATACATAAAAGCAGGTAGATTTTGCCATTCCAACTCAAAACATCTTTATTTCTGTGCTATTGGCTTCATCTGTCCTCACAGAGGACAGACTGCAGGAGGTAAGTGAACTTTTCCAGACAAGCTGATGGTTACACTTGGGAGCAACAAGGAAGAGCCAAGGCCATGAGGAGCCATTCTCATTATTTTCTGTGGAAGTCTTGAGGAGTCTTTGCTTAGCTGTTGTGACTTCAGATTCAAAAATCAAGCATTAGCTTCTGGGACAAGAGGACTACTTGGTAGTTAAGAGCCCACAGGAGCAAGAGACTCTTCCCCTGCTTTCCCAGCTGTATGGGCGGCTTAACATAGCCCCTAAAGCCTCTCTTGCCAGTCCACTCCCACCAGCACCTGTACTCCTGCCCCAGAAACACAGACTCTGAACAAACTCCGTACTCTGGGCTCAGAGGGGAAGGGGATGAAGGGCTGGGATTAAAAAAAACAAACTCCAAAAAGACTGACACAAAGGACATAAAAAGCAGGAGAAGCTATGAAAATATGTTGAGATGGTCAAGAAAAGTCACATCAAAATATATTTAAAAACCAGAAATTCCAATCTGTGTGGAATTTAAAACTCCTTTCTCCACCTTTTTTTTTTAATCCTCTGCTCAAGGAGTCTCTGCTGTTCCAGGACATGGAACATGATAGGCAGCACCAGTTACATCCTGAAAAGGGTAGCATTTCTCCCAACTCATCTGAGCACTTCCACCATTGACAAAGAAAAAGAATTATATATACCTCAACAATTGTCCCACCCTCCCTCTTTTCCATTCTACAGTGGGCAGGAGAAAAGACTGCAAACAAATTTGACTTTCTGTTGTCAGGTAAGTCCCATTTTTCCACACATCAATATCCCTGCAATCCATTGTACACCTTCTGCACCGATCCTTGTTTCAGCAACTGTTTGAGACCTGCAAAAGAAAGGAAGGCATTACTGCACAGCACAAACAGGACTCTCCATTTCCTGTTCCCGCTGCATTTACACATCTGGCTCAGAGAATCACAAAACAACCCAAAAAATAAGAAAAAATCCTCCCAAACCCAGCAGTGTGACAGCTTTACTCCCACTCCTTCAGCATCCCCACCAGAAGAAACAGGACCAAGGTTAGCGATGTTGTAACAGGGCTTTCATGCACTCTCAGGACCACACAAGACCAGTGGTTCCAGGGACAAAATCTCCTTTCCTACAAACTCAAGCTCCTCACAGCTCTGTAAGGGATAAACCTTACTTGCAGTGCTGCTTTGCTGTTGAAGTTGACAACAATTCTGTCATCTTAAAGTACAAATGCAACAACAAACAACTTGCTAAGTACTTCCAATGTCTAATTAATGTAGCTTACCTCCCAAGGCTCCCTCTACCACTCAAGAGAAACCTGCTAGCAGCAAGCTCAGGAGGGCTATGTTTGAGTCCTGGACTTGCCAGCTATAGAAATCCACAGGAGTAACTAGAAAACAGGTTTTCACACTGGTATGTGGTGCCTGGGGACACTACCGTCCACTAGAAGCAATCCTTAAAGGCAACCAAGAGAAGCAAACTTATCTATGGGATTAAGGATCCTATTGAAGGCCTGAAAATCTTAAGGGTTTTTGAAACCCACTGTTTCAAAAGGATTTTAGATGACTTTTCAAATACCACCTTCCACATTCATAAAACACTTCAAGGAGCTGACTGCTCTGAGGTCCTGTCAGTATTAAATTTTCAGCAGAACAGGATAAGTGACTCAGCCGTTAAAACCATACTAGCTCATCTACTGGGGTCAGCATATTCAGGGAAAGACTGGCAGTGCTACTGAAAGGACAAGTCCACACAAAACAGAGGAAGCAGATGTATTACACTGTTTTTTCCAGAGATAAAGAGGGAGACCCCTCTGATTAAAGTCAGCCCCGACACACACTGCCAGGACTCCCACTGCCCTGGCCACAGCATCCCTCAGGGCATGGCAGCATCTCTGCTCTGACCAGCACCAGAAACCACTGAGCCTGAGGAAGTGCTGTCAGGACTCAAAACAAAGGAGAAAACTCCCCGCACCATGGGTAACTTCCAAATAATAATAAAAAAATTAAGTTAAACTGCTATAATTCTGCTGCTGGATGTTCCCAGAACAAAGCACACAAGCAGCTGGCCTGTACCTCAACATGACAGTAGATGGGACTGCAGTCCTGCCTCAAATGACCTAAATCTGCTGCTGCAGTGAAGCCAGTCTTGGCATCACAATGTACAGGTTTGTACAAGAGGTCAGATCAGGCTGCCTAGAAAATACTGTTATAGTTGTTAACTTGAAGTGAGGTCCTCAGGCATGGGGAGGGAATATCAGCAATTAAACGAATCAATTTGTGACATTCCTGAAAGGTTAGGGGTTTTTTGGTCCAGTCCATCAACAAATCCAGCTAAAAGATATTAACGTTTCCCTGCAAACCTTGTCCTGCTTGTCTACCCTTCAATCATTCTGGCTATAGATACTACTGTTCTTTAAGACCAGTGATTTCATGCAGAAAGGTCACAGTAGCTGTTAAAATACTGGAAAACTGTTCTGGAAGTAGTAACTGGAAAAGAGATGGCTCTCTGCCAGGCAAGAGTTATTCATGCTTCTTGCTTGACAGCCAGAGAATCCTGAACACTCTTCTACGCTCAGAAATATCCCTAACAGTGGGGCAAAGCAAGCCCCTATACAGGAGCCCCTAATCATTAAGGGTAGGTCATTCTCCAGGGGAGTGCAACACAAGTTCACTTCCCCTCCACAGCTAAAGGAGGCTCCAAGTCACTTCCTGGCTAATGGGCAAGAGGAAGTGCCAACTGGATGTGTAGCTCTTTGGAAGGAAAACCATAGCTGGAGAAAGGTGTGCTCCAGTAACCCTGAAGGACCATTCCCATACCTCATTTCCTGCTAGCTAGCTCTAGGCAGCTGCCTGCTGGCCTGAAGGATACCCCCATTATTGCACAGGATATGTCAACGTGTACCTGATGTTCAGCCAGGAGCTACAGCACCTCAGGCATTTTTTACTAGAGACAACTTTGAGATTATTCTGACACCAACAGGTTACAGGTTACAACACAACCTGGACACTTGCTGAGCCTGCTGGTGCTCTCTGGGCACTCCAGAGTTAAAGCATGGAATCCAAAGCTCCAAAACAGACTATAAACAAGCATCAGTAAAGATGAATGAGAAATGTCAAAGAGAGAAAGTGACCTCTGAGCAACAGGCAATAAATTCCCTGATGTCACACTGGCAGGAAAGAAAGCATATTATTTCTCTGACTCTAAAGCTTAGGCTAACCAGAGTGGTGCTCTCCAAGTCAAGAGTTATCTTCTGACTGCCCCAGGAGCTGTGCATATGGTTATAAGAAATTAGGACCACTGCCAACAATAAGAAAAAAAGGGATGTTTTGAATCCTGAAGCTTACAGTCTTCCTTTGAATGTGTACACTGAACTGCTGCCATACAACATGAATAGATGTATTCCCTCATAAAACTCCTTAAATCACTGGATGTTTGGAGATATTCTAGCACTCAGAAATGCATTTGACTGCCTACCCAGTCACCTTCCCCTGGGGAGCATAGAACTGCTTTAGGAGGGAGTGAAATGCGCAAAGGGCCCATGCCTGAACACCCTCGTGCCAGTACCGTCATGTCTCTGATGCCAGGATACCCGTAAAGGTCTGTGAGCAATTTTGACAAAGACAGAGGCCTCTATGACTGCTCCTTGCCTCTTCTAAACTGCCAAGAGCAACAGCTGGAATAACCTCAGGTCTGTTTGAGAGGTGTCATTGCCTTACAAAGCTTCCAGAAGGGCAGCAGATCCTGGAATGAGACCACACTGTGCTCTGCAGCCCTCACTGGGCACAACACGCTTGAAGCAAAATCGGGAAAGCACAGGGGTCAAAACACAAAACAAGTGAACTCAAAACACAGCCCACAGGCACGGTCCTCACTGCAGAAGTCTGCGACAAACAGCTGCAGAGTCACAGAACATCAGTCAGCCCTGGAGCTACCAACTGGGCTCCAAGTGGGAGCTAGCACAGTATGGCCAATGCAACAGTAAATGTCACAGGGCTGACCCCCCCGCCCCGGGACTGGCTTCCCTCTACACACTTGAGGTGTACAGGAAAGCTGCCCATACACCTCATTCCACCAGGACAGCTGCCAGAATCCACTAAAAAGGTAACTTAAAATGGAGAAAGTATGATAGCCCTGGCCAGCAGGAAGAAGTTTTGAGGTTAAGGTTTTCTAAAGAGCTGTACTGGTATATTCCAGGAACTTCTTTGTTCTATAGCAGAAGACAAGGCCCTTGATGCCTACTCTGAAACTTTGTGAACCTACCACAGAAGCTGCTGAAACAAACGGGAATTTCCAGCTAGGAGTACAATATTTATCCCTTGTCAATCTTGGGATTTCTACATGGGTCATCAAGTTTTCATTTGAGTACTAAAGCTGAGAAGTAGATCTCTATTGCATCCGTCTTTCCTAGACAGCCACAAAGCACTTAGGGTAGAAGGAAATGTAGAGAGGAACAATCCTTCTGATGCTGTATGACTCTTTACCCTTGACAGCAGAGGGATTTTCACAAGTCTTGCCCCTAAGAAAGCAGAAGCAGGGCCTTGAAAACTGCCTGTGATCCCATTCCAGCAGAAGCAAAGCAGGCAGAAGCTAAGCCCAGTAAGTCTTTCAGTTCAGACAGATGGCCAGCTACAAAACAAAGAACCTGCAAATTTGCCAAGTGCTACATACCAGCAGTAGCACATCCCAACTTAATCTGGCTCCCTACAACTGCAGCAGCCAAGTTCACTTGGCTTCAAAGGGAAAGAGAAGTTAATCACAGGGCACTGGCCAACTGTGTTATGCTGTACAAGGGGCACAGGGAAAGGAGAGCCCCTCCTGACCACTGCAGGCCCCGATTCTGTTGTGCCAATGTCTTATCAGCTTTGGCTAGAGGTCTGTGCAGCCTGCTGCCATGGCAAGGCTTGAAAACACGCACCTTCCCGCTGCTCATTTGTCAGCTGCTCTTTGGGGAACTCCACATCAAACGTTATTATTAGTGAGCCTTTGATATTATTGTTATCAAAATTTGGAAGACCTTCTCCTTTCTTCCACAGTTTGGCCCCAGATTTCGTAATTTTATCCCGAGCAATGTGAACCTAGAGACAAAAGAAATTTCAGGACATTACTACTGTTCTGTGTGCATTCCAATACATCAATGCCCTTTCCATCCCACTGGAAAGCTTCCAATGATACCGATTCTTTGCCAAAGTCAGTGATACGCAATGGGTCCAGGTGGTGTTAGCGTCAGAACTAACACCACTGAAGACAGCAGATGAAGTAACTGCTGTGACAGCCGGGACCAGAGCACCACACCGTGCAGCCCTTGCAGAGCCTGTTATGACTCCACGGAAATTTGTCTGGAAGGCACTAGCCAAGGGGATGCTGTACACACCCAGCAGTTCACACCCCCTGAGCAAGATAACCCCCAGCACAGAAGACCTGCAGTTAAACTTTTTTAATACAAAGCAAGAACACAAACTGTTGCCTCACCTTGTGTCCATCCAAGTGGGCGATATCCATTTCAAAGCCTGTAAGTGCCTCGACCAGCGAGATTGTCACATTTGTATACAGGTCATCTCCTCTTCTTTCAAAGACTGGGTGCCTGTGGAAATAAAAAACATTGGAACTTTTCTTCTTCCAAATAGGGAAAACAGGTCCTCTAGCTTCTTCCCCTCTGTTTATGAGTTTGGAGAACTCACAAATCAGAGAGGAAGTGAAAAAGGAATTAAATTTAGCTTCATTTTCCTGTGTGTGCTATGTACTACCAAATAACTTTTCTATTTCTAGGGCAATGAGTGGCAAGGCGTGTCAAGAAGCTGTGACTCACACAACAATCTTCTTAGAAGTGCATTTCCTTACAATAAGGAGATAGTATGTTTATGGAAAAATGAGATTTTTCATGTGATTCACACAGGAGCCACTAATGCACGCCAGCATTCAAGCCAAATAAAAGTGGAATTATAACAGCATCTTACCAATGGTGAATCCAGCTACTTCAGCATCAGCAGGGTTGAACATCCTGCACAGCCCTGAGTAACAAACCCCTGGCTGCACCAACTCTGCTGAAGGGCAAGATACATACTAGCCAAGCAGGCAATGCTGGCCAGAAAATTGCTTGCAAGCTTCCTTTTATAGTAACCAGAAAAAGCAGACTAGCTAGGCCAGTTACTTACTTAAGGACTTTTATTCGGAAGCGTAAATCACCTGGCTCCCCATCCACATGGGGCTCACCTGTGAAGGGAAAAGCTCTGTTTAAAGGAGCTATTTAGTAACAACTGAAGAAACAAGTAGTATATTAAACACAAGAGATTTTCAGCTCACATGTTAGGAGAAAAAACACGTAGTTGATCTTTACATGACTAAAACCCTGCTTAGACAGATGTGCTATTAAACAGCTGAGGACTTTTGAGTATTGCCTCAATGAGCTCATACTGCTCTGCTGCTCTGCAAGACTTGCCTGCATGCTAATGATGTCCTTTACTTGTTGAAGGACTTACCTCCTTGGGCAGAGACATTCCCTCACATACTCAAGCCCAGCACAGATGCTTCTACTCAAAAGTTATCCTAAACATCAAACGTAGATATTGCTTTATATTCTTTTTGTGCACACCCTCAGTACCAGCAAAGGGAGTAGAACTTGGAGTGTTCTCCATACTTATCAGAGAATATGCTCCTGGATTTCAGCAGCACACAGAAGACACAGCACTTAAAACCACATGTACTGATCATTTATGAAAAGCAGGGCTTGGACACTTTGACTGCCACACAGACCAGCTTTGCATGACAGGAAAGGAGCAAGACAAAGCTGAGCAGTAGGGCAGTACCCAAATACATACCTTCACCAATGAAGGGATACTCCATACCATCCCTCACACCTGGCTCTATCTCCACTTCCAGCGTTCGCTCCTCATTCACAAGCCTGCAAAGGGAAGAGCAGCCAGGCACTAAGTTTCCAACACTAGGTAGCAGCACCTACTTATGTTACTGGGGTAACACATCTAGAACTGGAGGGTGAGTGTTGCCTTTCTTGTGTGCCGACACCTACCAGAGAAGGCAAGGTTAAGCCACTAAATGCACAGGACAGCAACTGGATGTGCAATTATGCCAGTATTCTATGTCCAGCTGTTCCCAGCTGGAAACTCTGGGCTTCTCTCACTTTGTTTATTAATATTTAGTTGTGGAACTCCCACTGTAGTATTACTGATTGTTCAAGGAAAAAGAGGCTGAAGGAGCAAACTGGGGAGTTTTACTTCTAATAGAGATTGCCAGCTCGACTCTAAGAGTAAGGATTGGCTCCTTGGAAATGAGAAACCTGTGTTAAGTTTTTCACCCCGGATCTTACTGGTAGTACAGGCGCCTTCCTCCCTCTAGTGGTAGGTTTTGAATAAACACCCATATATCATTAAAGAGCATACAACTCACTTGACATTTGGACATTCATCACAAACGACTTCTTGAGTCATTTGGAAACGCCCAGGACCCAACTGGGTGGTCCTCATCTCCTGCCGGCAATTGCATTTCCGTTTGCCAGGTGCCTGTCTTGCCACTGGCTTGTTCCTGACAACCTGCAAGAAAGAGGAAGAGGTCAATACAGCACACAGGCCAGCAACACCCCTAGGTCTCCACAAGCATCTGGATTTCTCAAATACCCTGAAAATAATTTGGTTTCGTGTGCTGCCTCTACAATCCACTTGCCAAGTGGCCTCAGTAAAACATTCTGACAACAGCTTTCATCTTGTGCTTCTTGCTGATCACACATTAAATACCAGAAAAACCTCTCTAGGACACCACTATTCCCATTTCTTTTTCCTGCACACCTTTCTAAATAGAAAAGGTAAAGCTAGGATGAAAAACCTCACACTTTGTGCAGGACAAGGTGGTGATTGTAACCAACGGGCAAAATTATTCGGAGTTCCCCATTTACCCAGAAACTCAAACTTAAGCATCACATATTCTAACATGCAAAGCAGCAGGGATTGTCAGCACCAAAAACGTAGCTTGCTTAAAACAAATACCAAAAATTAAAGGGCCACCATATATTCACCTAGCACGTAACCCAGCAATTTGCAGTGACATGTTTGGCCACATAGAGAGACTATGAAAAATCCTCAACATCATTCTGCAAGAATTATGACATGAATTTAAGGCTTATGAATGGACCCTCAAATATCAATAAATTCTACAGAAAAACCACTTACACTTTTTCCAACTGGGCTACTGAAATACAAACAAGCTACAGATGGTCACTAGCAGCAAATAAACAAGCCGTTATCTTAAGAAACATTATTTTATAGAGAATGGCAGATGGCAAAGATGAGTGTGTTGTTTCTTCAGTTAACTACTAGCAAACAGCATCATAACATCCTTTACTGTCACTGCAAAATACTGAGAAACTGAGCACCTATTTAAGTTCTATTCTTTGGGATGTGATATCATTCTGAGTGGTGGCCAGGCCAGACATCTCAAACCTGAGAACACACTGGACAGACCAACAGGCAACCAAACTTACTTCTACGAAGTTTCCTGAATACACCTCCTCAAGTGTAACCTCCAGGTCCACAATTATGTCACTTCCTCGGGGAATATTCCTGTCTTGTTGGCGAGGGTTACCTCCAAACATGAATCCAAAGTCCCCAAAGAAGCTGCAGTAAAAGCACATCAATTAGTTCAGGAAGAAATTCTCACCAAACAAGGCTCTGAAAGAGAGAGCCATCCAAGGCAGCAACAACATGGTGCTTGGCAAATGCTTCTAGTCCACTAGTGAACAGCCTTCTCACAGTACAAAAGCACCACAGTAAATCCAGATACCTTTCTTTGCTCCTCCAGAACACAAACTAATGCCTTCAAACAAAGTTGTCATGTTGGAAGATATTTCTGTACTAAAGAAAATCAACTTTGGAGCAGGAATTGAACAACACTTCAAAATCTGACCACTGCCTAAGGGAAGTTCTCTCCACATTACACTGAAACCATCACCATAAGGCACAACCTCCGAGTAGTATGTCACCTCTGGCATTTCAGGTCAATGCTAGCAGGTTGTTTTTCAGTAGTTTAAGGACAAGGGGCAGGGATGAGAAAAAACTTCCTAGCAAGTCTCTGTATTTTTCCTCAAAACAGACCAGAAGATGGTGTGAGATCTCACCCAGAGGAATTACCCGAGATGAGCAACTTCAAGAGTTGTTCTAGTAACTGTGTGTCTAGCAGAACCAAAGAGGCCAGTCCTGGGTTCAGCAGTAGCAGTCATTTTTTCTCCTTCTTAGTAGCTGGTGCAGCGCTGTGTTTTGACTTTCAGTCTGGGAACAGAGCTGGTAACACTGATGTTTTAGCCTGACCAAGGACTTTCTGAGCCTCATGCTCTGCCAGGGAGGAGGGGAAGCTGGGAGGAAGCAGAGACAGGACACCTGACCCAAACTGACCAAAGAGGTATTCCATACCCAGGATGTAACTGAGGGTTACCCGGAAGGGCTAGGACTGCTGGGTTGGACGAGATATCAGTCGGTGCTTGGTCAGGCGAGTTATCAGTCAGCGGATGGTGAGGTGTTGTATTCTCTTCCCTTATTTCCTTTATCATTATTATTATTGATGGCAGCAGTAGTGACTTGTGTTATACCTGTTCTTATCTCAACCCGTGGGAGTTGCATTCTTTTTGATTCTCCTCTCCATCCCTCTGGGAGTATGGGGAGGGCAAGAAGGGGGGGAGTGAGTGAACGAGCTGTCTGACTGGTTTTAAACCATGACAGGGCCTTAAACAGAAAATCAGGTTCTGCCTCAGTAACATGCAAGTGCCTTCAGATTTTACTGATCCAAATTCTACAGTTGCTCTAAAACTTACTCTAACTCAATACAGCATTACTTTGCAGAAGAAAAAAGTGACCCAAAGTGCACATGTGATCTGTGACAACAGGTTAAACATCAAGACACTATTGGTTCCCACTCACTGCTTCTGAAGCGAGGACTGATGCATGACAGATAACTGAAAACTGCACATGGGATATCCACTGTAAATATATTTCCTCAAATTCTCAACTGTTGATTCAGATCAGTGCCACCAGACTGGGTGAAAGACCTTAACGCAGAATTTGCCCACGTCAAATGTGCGCACGAGCATCACAAAATTAAAGCCCCAACAGTAAAACAGCCTGAAGTGGCAAAATCTCCTTACTGTGAGAATATGTCTCCATGAGAGCTCTGGTGCCCATCCTTCAATCCCTCCTCACCATATGCATCATACTGCTTCCTCTTCTCCTCATCTGACAGCACCTGGCAATGACATGAAAGCAGACAAGACATTCACCCACAGCTGAGCTGAGTTACTTGAATAAGGCTCTGAGAGGAAGCAGCTCAGCAGTGCTCTTAACTGGGGGACAAGCAGCAATGCTTTACATTACAGAAGTACTGGCTAGAACTTGCTTGCTGCACTGGACTAGAAAAGCTAAACATTTATCAGTTAAACCCATACAAAATAAGTTTTTTTATTCAATCAGAAGAAGTAACACAGAAAATTAAAGTAACACTGAGTTTTCTTACAGATTAAAGAAAGAATCAGAAGGAATAACTCGAATAAGTTCCTGCAAAGCAGCAAACTGAAAAAAAAAAACCAAAACCCAAATCCATAAAGCATGCCACCCCTGTTTCTCAGTTTGTTCTTCAAGCATGCAGAATATGTATTTCTCCAGCCACTATTTCATGGCAGTGATGGTAAGTTCGTCCACCAAGCTGAACCTGCCAAATACAGTAACTGCACCAGTTTGAATGCTGGCCCTCATTCAGAAGGACCACAGAAGTTAGAAGTAACTTCAGTACTGAGGCAAAATAACACATCCCAACACATACAACTTTCAGGACTACAATTTTAATTCCTGAACACTGATCTTTGCTCTTTTCTCCTGCAGAGATCCAGAAGTTTCCAGTCAGATTTAGTTTACCTTCGCCTTCTTCACCTGTTGACTATAGTTAGGAAGGTCAAAAGGCTAGGAGGAGTGAAAACAAATTGAGAAGCAACTGAACAGGTGAAGAAGCTGGCTAAATGATGAAAACCAGCCTGAAATTGTAACTGATGGTAAATGCTAACAACACAGAAAAAAACCCAAATTACTTTACTAGCATCATCTAGTAGATGAGTTAAATTCTCCCTTTGTCCTATTTTGTATTAAACCACACATTTCCAAAGTTGTTGGAGAACACAAGTCTAAGAACACATTTTCAAGACTCCTTGGTTGTTACATTTGGTTGCCTTCACAGCAAAGCAATTATAGTGGACAAGCTTTAGGGGGGGGGGGGGAAAACAACCACCCTCAAGCCATCCTGAGACTAATCACAGACTGGCTTGGGTTGGAAGGGTCCTTGAAGTTCCAGCCCCCTGCCACAGGCAGTGACACCTTCCAGTACAGCAGGTTGCTTCAAGCCCAATCCAACCTGGCCTTGATAGGGCAGACACAGCTTCTCTGGGCAGCCTGTGCCAGGGCCTCATCACCCTCATAGTGAAGAGCATTTCCCCTCTGTCAGGTTAAAGCCATTCCCCCTTGTCCAGTCACCACATACCCTTGTGAAAAGTCCCTCTCCAGCTTCCTTATATGCCTGCTGAAGTAGGGTAGTCTCAGTTCCCTCTTCTTTCTTACTGAAACAACTGTGCGCACACCACACAGCTGCAGGGTGGAAATCACCTAGGCTATTATTAAAATGAGAGACCAAGTAGTTGAATTAACCTACTTTCCCCACATTTTCTTTGAAGACTTTGCTATAGATAGGCAGCCAGCCAAACCCTGAAGAGCAGTACTACTACAGAGGCTGCTGCGTTATGGCACAAAGCACCTTCATTTAGGTTACAACATACACATAATTCTACCTCTCTTTTGCCCGAAACAATCAAATCAACACCCTGAATTTCGCAGCCACTTTAGCAAAAGGATGTGCAAGCTGTACTTGCTAAACAAAGAAACAAAGACCTTGCAGGACATCGAAACGTTACTCCTTCCAAACCTATTTTAAAAGCACACTTATGTCAATACTGGATTTCAACATTCTGATGCATCAGCCTCCAGCTGAAGACTTTGAAGGGAGGTTTCCTAGTTTAATTTTACCAGCATCCAGTGAGAGCATGTTGCATTCTATACGTCTATATGTCTGTGCTAGCACCAAAACTCCACACTTGATGTTGAACAAGGACACTGTTGTGCTTCAATAACACCATGGTTAGGGGAAAACAGGCTCAGTCACTGCTCATAATTAATATTCAGCTCCTTCTGCCACCACATCCCCTGCTGATTTGATTTTACAATCATTTGCTTTTAATAGAAGGAGCACTCTCAACTGTTACTATGGCAAAGAAACAAACTGGGACTCAGGGAAGAGGTAGGGAAATGCTTCCTATGCATACTGTCAATGTGACAAGATCCCAACTCAGCAGTGACACTGAGCTCACAGCTTTGAAGTAAAACACATTCATCAATCTCCAGATGCTGCAAGTGACAGGTAATAAACACTTCTGTCCACAGAAAAATTCCTTATGTTCGCTGGCTTCCTTGTGATAGTTCAGCCAATTTGTTTAAATACGTAACTCTCAACTAAAAAGAGGTTCAGGTCTGATACAAAAGTAAAGTTAGATGTGTTTTCTTTCTGCTCTTTTATCTCCTATCAGCTCAGCCTTACTCACAAACATGCACATATTTGCTCCTGTGCCAATACTCAGGGTTGCATCAGCTATATTCCCTCCTCAAAGAGCTATTAATAAATACCAGAGAATTTAGGTTGCTGCCCTCACTTTCCTCTGGCTAAGTAAGCTAAGGTCTTCTGCTGTCCTTTGACAGAAGGAACTCTGTAATCAACCTGGCAGCCTCTCCATCTCTGTTTTGTATTTGGTACAATGCCTGAAATTTAATATAGTAACAGTGGAACAATGGATTGCACCTGCACCTTATTAGAAGGGCTTTCACATTTCCTAGAAGGGCTCCTTTATTGTTCCTCTGAAAGCTATACGGTAAAGCTTCACAAGACTACTTGTTGGCCAATCTCAGCTTCGTGCTCACAGAATCATAGAATGGATTGGAAGAGACCTTAAAGCTCATCCAGTTACAGGCCCCTGCCACAGGCCAGGACACCTTCCACTAGATGAGGTTGTTTAAAGCCCATCCAACAAAAACCCCCATCTACCCTTCACAGCATGGGAGGACTTCAGATTCCCTGACCTACTTATAACAGGGTGCACAGCTTCACCCCTCATCTGCCCCCGCAGCTACACCAACCCTCACTACACCTGCCCTACACTGCAGGTAGTAATGCCCACTGACAGGCGCAGGGCAGGGGTAACCCGCAGGTCCCGGCCTCACCTCATAGGCAGCCCCCAGGTCCTGGAACTTCTCCTGCGCCCGGGGGTCATCGGGGTTCCTGTCGGGATGGAGCTGCAGCGCCAGTTTCCGGTACGCTTTCTTGATGTCCTTGATGGAGGCGCCGCGGGACACCCCTAGGATCTTGTAGAAGTCCCTCCTGCGGGGAGAAGGAAAGGAAGAGACTGAGGTCCCGTCAGCGCCGCGGCCGCTGAGCCGGAGGGAGGGAGAAGGGGGCCGGCCCAGCACAAAGACGCGGCGGAGGGGACACAGGCCCGGCACACTCACCCCGCGGCGGCCTCCCCGCAGAGGCAGAGCAGCAGCAGGCAGAGACGGCCGAGCCAGCCCAGGGCCATGGCGCGGCGCGGCCGGGCCCGCCTTGCCCAGGGGGAAGGCGGGGAGAGAGCGCGGCGCTTCACAGGCGGGTCCGCGGCCGCCCGCCCCGGCACGGACACCAGCAGACGCGAAACGGGGCCCAGCTACATCCACTGGCCAATAAGATCACGGCGTGGCCCCGCGCGCTGCGTGCCGGTGGCCAATCGGCTGCGCACACTTCACCACCGGCTCGACGCCGCTGACCTATCGTCTGCCAGGACGTTAGCTCTGAGCCCCTCGGTCCAATCGTGGCCCACGTCGTCACTCCTCACCCTGCCCTATCGCTGCTCCAAGCCGCACGGAAGTAGGATTCCGCGGTGCAGCAGCCAATCAGAGGAAGCAGTGTTAAGTCTCTGCCGCCGCGAAGGCTTGGAAAGCCAATTGGAGCTGGTTCCTCAGGGACGGGGCTGCTCGGCGCGGCCCGAGCGGAGTCTACCAGGGGGTGAAGGAAGCTCTGTCTCGTTGGTCCGGGCCGCCGCCGCTCTGCGCGGGCACCGGAAGCGGGCGGTACCGGTCACCATGGAGGCGGCAGCGGCCGTGCGGCTGTGGGTGAAGACGGAGCCATTCGTGGTGGGGGTCCTGCCCGCCCCGCCGCCCGCCCGCCTCGGCCCGCACTATCTCCGGAAGATGGCGGCCTACGCCCGAGCGCGGGCGGCCGAGGGCTGCTTCCCGCGGCTGTCGTGGCCCCGCTGGCGGCACATCGCCTGCGGGAAGCTGCAGCTGGACCGCAGCCTAGCCTGGCTCTACTTCGAGCTCTTCCACAGCGTTCTCCGGCCCGACCCGCCGCGCAGCCTTGAGTGGGCAGAGGCCGAGGCAACCTGTGGCAGCGCCGAGGAGCTGGAACGGGAGCGGAGCAAGGCAGGAGTCCCAACCCGAGCAGGGCGGGCGTGGGGAGAGCCCAGCCCATCCTAACGCCTCTTTTTTCTCCTCTCTTGTCTAGCTGTCGGTGGACACGCTGCAGTTCCTGCTCTTCCTGTACATCCAGCAGGTAAGCAAGGTGTCTCTGCGGAGGTCTCTGATCGGGGAGGAGTGGCCCAGCCCCCGGACCAAGTCTCCCAGCCTGACTGGAAAATCAGCCAGCGAGAGCAAGGTAATTGTAGCTGTAGGACAGTCTCCTTGTGTGGCCATGTGAGGAGCTGCACGGTCCTGCCTTGAGGTGAGTTGAAAGTGGATGGTTTATGTCTGGGAGGGTGCGACTCTGCCTGTGGTGAAGTCTGAGCTAGGGTCAGGTTGGACATGCTTCACACAATCTTACATGGAAAGGAGCTGGTGTATTCTCTGCAGCTTTACCTGCAGAATTGCTGGTAAATTGAATCTGAGCTGTGAAAGTACTCCCAGAATCATGGGAATTCTCCTTTTAAGAAGCAACTGCCCCTTTGGTGAAATGGGAAGCTTTTCTTGGGTTGGAGGTCCTGTGATCCACTGTGAAGTATTAGGATCCCAAGGTGGTCCCTCACAATGTATTTCAGATGGGAGCTGGTTGATCAGCTGTTGATCAAATGCACGGAATTGCTAATGTCTCCTTTTAAAATACTATCAGGTGTTGAAAGAAGAGAATCAAGTTGGATGTGTTTGGTGTAGCTCTGATTTTAGAGTGAATTGTAGGTGGGCAGTGTCATAAAGTGTAGTTGCAAATTGTGGTGGATTTCTGTCATGACTGCAATGCTGGGAGCTATATGAGCTAGTGAAGTACAGCTTGGGGGAAGCTGCAGGAATTAAAAGCAGGAATTGGGTGACTTTATACTGAAAGATTTAACAAATGGGAAAAGAAATGAGGGGACCTGACACAGGGCTGTGAGTTGGGTTGCTGTGGAGCATCCAGTGTTATTTGAAAGCTGATGTTTTCCTTTAGCTGTTGCCATTTCATAGAACTTGGGACAGGAAGGAGGAGAGACTTGGCTGACACTGTAACCTACACAGAGGTTTTGGTCCCAACAGGACTGGGGTTGGCTCCACTGGTGTTACTTTGTGTGACTGAGAGAGATTTCCCAGCTTCAGCCTTTTTCAGTGGTGTAGTGGGGCTTGTCTGGTGCCAGAGGGTCTCTGTCCCAGAGCAAGGATCGCAGCTCCTGGATAAGATGTGATGGTGAGGACAGTGTGTGATTGCAGCATGTGTTGCTTGTTCTGCAGTTTGCAGGCAAGCCACAGTTGTCTTTAGTAAAGATCTGCCATAATTCTGCCTTGGTTTTTTTGGTTTGGAGCCCTTTAGAATTTAAACTGATGATCCTTTCAGAGGTAGTTTGGTTTATTGGTCCTCTTGCTGAGAAGAAATGACCCTCTGCTTTTTTCCCCACAGCGCCTCAGAAGGTGGCAGTGAATCATAGCTGAAGGTCTGGGACAGATGCAGTGATTTTCCAATAGAACATTTTCAAGACCTTGACTGTCAGTTATTGATTTATTTCCTACCTTCAATTACCAGCCATGAGCTGGCTGAATTTGTGCAGGAAGGATTGTGGGAGAGTTTTTCTGCTTTCTATAATTAAATATTTGCTACCTGGAGTAGAATATTATTTTTCCCTTTCTGGGGGAGGTTGCTTTCTGAGTTTGGAAGAGCAAGGCAGCAGAAACAGTGAGCAGGAGAGACCACCATGTTTGACTTTACTTTCTCTTTTAGAACAAGTGTAAGGAAGGGTATATAATGTCAGCTTTGTGAGAACTCACCTTCTCCTTATGTCTCTTTCTGCTCACTGAGATCTGGAACGATCAGGACCACCGTGCCTTTGTGCAGAGCCACCTCTTGGAGATGCTTGAACTGCTGTTGGAGCCTGAGCAGCTCAGTGCCTCCTCCCATTCAACCCACAGCAGCCTGGTGTCCTACGAAGCTGTCTGTGCCCTCAGCTTCCTTATTGAAGGAACTGTGAACAAATCCAGGACGGTCCATCCACTGCACGAGCTTGCCGTCTGGCAGTCCTGTCCTGGGCAGAATGGCTACTCAAAGATCTCTAGAGCCTTCTCTTTCCCCAAGCTAGAGAGCTGGCTGCGGTCTTGCCTGACAACAAACCCTTTTGGAATGACTGCCTGCCTCAAGTCTGGGAAGAAACTCGCATGGGCACAGCAAGGTACCTACAGGCCTTGTCTTTATCTTTAGAAATAGCTTTTAAGTCTCAGCTCCTCTTGCTGACTGGGGATCTGGCAGTTTTGTGAGGGCTTGCCTCCTTTTCCTGTGGACGTGGGGAAGGTGTCAGCTTAGGGGCAAGTCTGGGAGATGAGAGAGTGCTGCATGACATCTGTGTATGTTTTTCTGATCTTTGAATCACTTTTGTGAGCAAACATTAATGATCTTATTGTCAAAGGCCCCTCTGAGTGAGATCAGGATTAGTATGCTTGTTATTTAAGTACAGCTGGGCACAGAGATAATGTGATGTGTTTGTGGCAAAGCTGAGAACTGGTCTGGGTTTCCTTGGCCTGAATAGCAGCCCCTTGCCTGCAAGGACATGGCAGTGGAGCCAAGGCACCTTCTACCTTGGGAAGAAAAAAATTCAAATGACTCCACAATTGTAAGAGTGACATGTGTTAGGTAGGGCAGTGAGATTGCTCAAGGACTGTAGAGGGAGCATTTCACTGTCTTAGAACATACAGTTCCTGCTTTCAACATAAAACTTGCCGTAAGGATCTTCCTGCCAAGCAAAGTCTCGTGTTTGGGAAAAGACTTCTGGAGTTGGAGATGCCCAGGTCAGGGCTGCCTGTAGCTTGTGGGAGGCATTGGCCACCCCTCGATAATCTTGAAATGGTTTTGATTTTTCAATGTGCCCTGACTTCTGGAGCTTCAGACTGCTTTGTGCTGCTGAGCTGCCTGGTAGGCGTCGGTGGACGGTGTGACTGGTGCATGAAGTGTGGAGTCTGATGGTACTATCCTGCAAGTTTTGGGCTGATTATTTTTTTGAGGGATTGCTGGGTAATGTGGACAGTGAGCCATCATGTCTGTCTCTCTGTAGGAATCTTGTGTAGCCTTTTTGTGCTTAAAAAAAAAAAAAGCCACAATTAAATGCACTGGAGAACTTTATTTTGCAGTTGAAGGAACAACCAGGAGGGCAAAGATTGCCTGCAATACTTGTGTGGTGCCTGAGGTGTTTCCCATGGTGATAATGAGTCAAGTGTACAAGCAGACGCTGGCCAAGAGCTCGGACACCCTGGTAGGGGCTCATGTAAGAATTCATCGCTGCAATGAGTCCTTCATTTACCTCCTCTCTCCCCTCCGGTGAGTTTTTGTTCTCCTGAGACACAGTTAGATGTCTTTTCAGCAAGTTTGTTCAAGTGCTACATTCTTGTTAGATGGACTAAGCAGTGAAAAAGTCCTGGGTTTGCTCTTTCCTGCTCACTGTGTCCTCTCCGTCTTGTTCTTTTGCAGGTCTGTGACCATTGAGAAGTGCCGGAATAGCACTTTTGTCCTCGGCCCTGTGCAGGCATCTGTGCACGTCCACAGCTGTGACAACATCAAGGTCATCGTGGTTTGCCATCGTTTGTCCCTTTCTTCCACTGCTGGCTGTACTTTTTACGCTCTCACACCTACCCAGCCTCTCATCCTCTCGGGGAACCGAGCAGTCAGCTTTGCCCCTTTCCACACCCACTATCCGATGCTTGAAGACCACATGGCTCAGGTGGGCTTGGCCACTCTGCCAAACTACTGGGACAGTCCCATGCTGGTGTGCAAAGAGAGCAGTGACAAGAGTGTTTTCCGCCTCCTGCCACCTTCGGACTTCTACACCTTCGTGATTCCTTTTGAGATGGAAGGAGACACCACGGAGACGCCAGGTGGGCTTCCCCATGCGTATCAGAAGGCGCTGAGTCAGCGGGAGCAGAACGTGCAGATATGGCAGAAAACTGTGAAGGAGGCAGGCCTGACCAAGTGAGTGCTGCATCCAAATGGGAGTATGTGAGATTCAATGAAAAGCATGCCCAGATACTGTTGAGGGCTGACATGAGGGAACCATCCTGGCAGTAGTAAGAGTTTACAAATGATCTCATGCTGGGCACTGTCTCTGTTCTGCTTCCAGTGTTGCATGCTGCTGTGGGTGACATCTAGGTGCATACCCTGAACAACAGCTTGACTAATTATTGGCCTGCAGCTGATTGGATCTTAGTCCAACCATTACAAGAAGGCTGAAGCTTTAAATTACTGTCCCATCTGTTGCTGAGGTGAGCTGAGAATGTGCATGTGAATCATTACAGTAGATCACCTCATGGACAGTAGCTTTTAAAGTCCTCTATCAGATCGCATCACATCCTCTGCCCAGCTTTTACTGTACTAGCTAGACCTGGCCTAGCCCACCTCATGTGCGTTTGCTTTCTCAGTACCTGTTGTGGAGTTCTGACAGAGTTCTTGCTTCTTTGTCAGCATGCTTTCTTCTGCAGCCAGCCAGATTGGACAAGGCTGCAGAATCTCTGCTGACTTCAGTTTAGCTGCTTTTATGTTTTTTTGTGAACTGCAAACCTGAAGTACCTGTCTTCCATTGCAAATACAGAATGGGGTTAGAAACCCAGATATTCAATTGTAAAGACTTGAAAAGATGAGAACAAGTTTAGTTCCCTAAGCTGGACTTAAGCTGTATAGATTTTCTTTCTGTTCTGTGCTCAGTCAATGACTTGTAACGGGTGTGTAACTGGGTGCTGATAAGCAGTGATTTTGGAGGGGTTTATCCTGTAGGGAGCTCGGAATGTGAAAACCTCCTCTTGGGTCAAACTGTCAATACTTCCCATCATACCAGGCTGAGGAGTTCTAGCCCAATTGATGGTTCATCGTTTTGGAGGAGCTCCCCGTGCTTCTCTTGATCCTCTCTGCAGTCCAGGTGCCTCCGTGCTGAGTGTGGAGGAGCATGCAGTTTGAAAGAGCTCTAGATGGAGAGAGAAAGGATTCTGGGTCAGGATTTTGCTGCAGGTTCAGGGTGGCTGAGCAGTGGTGACCCAATAGTGATGACAGAAGTGACTCTGGACTTTCAGCCCTGAGTCTTCAAGGTCAGCAGAGAGAAAAGTTACAACTTCAGACTTTATGGTTAGATTTAACCTCTTCTACAGCAGTCACAGGAAACAAGCCACTCTCTAGTGGAGTGGCTTATTTCATAAAAGGGGGAAGAACTGTGGCAAGTTTAGAAGTTTCCTGAAGAGAAACTGGGCAGCTGATGGTGTAAAATGTCTGTCTCCTACAGGCAGGGAAACAACCTGGGAGACAACTAGGAGGCTTAGAGCAAGCAGGGTATCAGACTTGTAGAAAGAAAAAAGCTGCCATGCTTGAGCGGGGAGGTGAAAGAGAATGTTAGAAATAAGACATCTTTCAAGAAGTTGAAGTTGTCTGAATGAGGAAAGTGGGGCAGAAAAAGAATGTAAATCCTGCCAGGCTGAAAGTAAACCCCCCGTAAGACAGGACCAATAAGACAGCTTGAGGAACAACTTGCAAAAGCATAAAATCCTGTTTATTCATTTCCTGAGCATATCGGACAGAAAGTCTTTCAGGGTCAGTAGCAGATCAAGGTATATAAAAAGCACTTGGAGAAAATAAAGCCATAAGGGAAGAAAGCAGTGACTGCCTTTGTGTTCACATTCACTGGGGAGGAATTTAGGTTAGTTGCTGTCGTAGAACCCTGCTTTCTGGGGAACATCTCAAATGGAAGTGATAGTATAAAGAAGAGCCTATAACTTGAAAAAAGGGTCTGGGCACACTGAGCCTCTCTGAAGCTGAGTGGCACAAAAATGAATAGGGCTTATGTGCTGCTTTTCACACTAGAGGATGGGATCAGCACATCAAATTATGTATGGGCTCCTCCTCAGCAGCCCTGTGGAGCAAGTTTACTGTGCTAGTGGGATGGGGAGATTTGCGTGGTTTCTGCCACCACCAAGTTCTGCCTTTGGGGTTCATTGCAGTCGTGCTCATTTGGTAAAAACCTTTTCTTCCGATAAAGACAGTTCAGGAACCAAGTCCAGCTCTTAGCTGATACATAGGGAGGCTTGTTTTGGTAGTGAAGGTGCCAGTTAAAAGTATAATGCTATAAATAAATGACAGCTTTACATACTTCCCTGCTGATCTTTTGGTTTCAGGGATCAGAGGAAACAGTTCCAGATACTGGTAGAAACCAAGTTTTATGAATGGCTGGTTCAGACAGGGAACCGTCAGCAGCTGGATAGCCTTGTCCCTCCTGCAGTAGGCTCCAAGCAGGCAGCAGGATAGCATCCCATTCCTGTGCAGCAAAAGGAACGGAAGGGTGAGTAGAAGCCTGTTTCTCTTGATTCTTCTCAAGAGTTGTCCCATGGTTGTGTATACAGGTTAGGCAGAGGTAGAAGAAAGAGGAGGCTGTTCAGTAGACTATTCTCCCAATAGCCTTGTGTTTGGTTTTAGTTCTTATTTTGCAGTCAAAACCTCTTTTCAATTTGAATCTGTTCATTGTGTACTCAGCACATCCATTGTTCTGTGCAGGTGTTCTGTTTGCTTTGTTGGAGAAAAACAAAGATGCTGTGTGCATCTGTAAAGGCAGACAGGCATATTGTACGTAATCTGATGTAAAAAAAAAACAAACAAAAACCAACCTGATTTGAACCTGCTCTTTCAAAGAGGCTCTGTGCATTAATATCTGTACTTACCTGTCTCACCTTTTGCTTAAGAGAGCCGAGTGAGACTCAAATAATTCTTACATTGTAGTGTCTTTTTCTTCGCAAGCAGAAGTGGTTTAGGAGCCAGAGACAAGCCTTTATCATGCTTTTCCACAAGTTTTTGGTGGCCCAGATGGGACACTATTTGGACTGGACCTTGCTTGGGGAATCATCGCAGCCAGAGGGATTCGCCAGATGAACTCCAGCACACACCGGTGTGATTATCCGGGGACTTTCCTGGCGAACCCCTGGTTGTGGTGAGTTCTTGAGCGATGTCCTATACAAGATATTGTTACTATTATTTCTGTTTTGATTTCACCCCCCGAGCAACTTGTATCAGAAAAGATACGGATCAGAGGAGTAAAAGGCACCTGAAGGTATTCCCGTGCATGATTACGGTGGTGACTGGAGCATGTGGAGTTTGGATTATTGTTATATTCCTAAGAATTGGTTTGGGATGCATATTGGCCCATCAGGGCAAATATAGGGGAGATCTTTTAACTTGGAAAAAGTTCTCTCTCACTTTTTATCTGGCACCATGCTCAGTCTTTCCTATGCTGAGGGGCCACCACTGATTACAAGACGCTATTAGCTTAACTGAACATAGTGCCTGTTTAGCATGAGAGGCAAGAGGGACTTTTAACCAATAAGTAAAGGGTGGAATACTAATTGATTGTGTAACTCTCAAACAAAGGACACTGATTACATTGTCAAAATATATAAATAGCTTAAAGTTACGATCCTGGGGGTGCTTGATTTGTGGAGACTTCTGAGCACTGTGCAGAGAGTAAACAATGTCTCCTTTCTGAACTAGACTCCGTGTCTTTGTTTAGAAAGTCCCAAATCGGCAACAAAGCCATTAGAAACTTTGGTTTGTTTTTTTTCCCCTTTTCTTTATTCTCTAAGTTGCTTATTCACTGTTGGTGCTGTAGTAAAATTTTCTCCTCTTATTTTGTTACAGAGCTCTAGAAAAACAGTTCTCATTAAGGCTTTGTGGCCGTCTTGCTTGAGCTCACTTGACGTTCATCTGACACCCACCATTGGTTTGGATTGGACTGTCTGTCTGGTTTAGGATTTCTGATTGCTGCCACTTTCCCAGGAATGTGCTGCAGCTATTCTGTTGGTAACTGAAAAAGTATGTTGCTAGAGGATGAAGAAGTATGCCTCCTTGAGTGAGGAGGCTGTCATTGTGGCTAGTGTCCATGGTGTGCAAGTATCCAGCAAAGCAGCCCTCCCTGGTGCAAAACTGGATGCAGGGCCCTTGGCGTCACTTGCATCTTTTTATGGTACAAGCCAGCTGCACTTTTTTTGTGAATGTGAAAAAGAAATGTTTGATTTTGTTGTGAATGAAATTCAACTGATTTTTTTTAATCAAATTGATTTAAATTTAGATGGATTTTTTTAAATACAGAGATGGCACTTAAGCAATGTGATTTTATGGAATTCACTTCCTTGTATGTTTGCATGTTTTTGATAAATGTCAATAAAACAGAGTTCTTAAATAAGCTTGATATATGTCCTACTTTTACCTGTACAATGAGTGTTAGACACAGCATCTTTACTCCCTTGTGAAATGTGAACCGGTCAGTAGGGAGAAAAATGCCAATTTATTAACAGCCATGGAATTGAATGTTTTGAAGGCTGCCCTAGCACAACATTTTGATACAAATACTGTTTCCTACCTTTAGTATTTCTTCTAGAGAGTATCAGCTTGAATGAGTACTGTTCTCAGGGGCCGGTGGAACCAGTCCTGGGAAGATGTGCTTGTAGCTGAGCACCTAAATAAGGAAGGCAAAATAGGCAAAGGCATTGGATGACCAAAGGCAGCTGTTGAGTTGTCATTCGATAGGACCTGGATTGTGGTTGAACGCTGATCTTCATAAGGCAGATTTTACTTTCCTTTTAATTGATATGTGAAGTGTTCTCACAGCGTTTGAGCAGTAAGAGCTGGAAGCAACAGCACTGGGTGATTCAAGACACCTAAAGAGGGAGAGGATGAGATACTGCTGAGCACATCTGTTTCAGGCTGTCTGTTAGGCTGCTGCAGCAATGTACATGGGATGGCATGCAGAGCTGCTGCTGCCAGACTGCTTGTCCTGACAGATTTGAAATGGGGTCTGTGTGCTGCAGGCGCTGCTGTGCTGAATTAATTTCCCTTTGTTTCACTAAGCCTTTGGGCTAGTGCAGTGAATAGCTGCAGAGGTGTTTTTTCATATCGTGCTGGCGGGTGTATGTAAGCCAGCAATCTCTGACCCCTCTGCTCAGTGGGCCTCAGTGGGCTGAAAGGAAAACTCTTCTGCTCAAGGCTCAGGTAGTGGTGTAGGAGCTCTGAGTTGAATTTGTGACATTAGCAGATATGGTCAGAAATTTGGGCAAGTTCCTTACTATTTGACCCTTTGGTGGGGTGTGGCTAGATGTTCTCTGAATATTGGGTTTCCTCCTCACAGGCAGAGGTGGGCCTTTTGGAGCTGACAGAATGCCTTCTTGCTTAACATGCTTAAAAGGGAGAGAGCAGCCAAATTGCACCCCATCCTCCAGGACTTGGTGGGGGGCTGCATGTTTTTGAGTGTGTTTGGCAGAGTTTTGGTGTTCTGATTCAGCAAATGGTAACAAAGGGAGGATGGCAAAGCCTTCCTTTATTCCATAATCCTGCTTGCCTTTCTGGAAATCGGCTATAGCCTCAGAATTACTGACTCAATTTTTGGATCCTATTCTCATGACAAAGCAGCTGTCTCGTTTAAAACAAACCCGTTATAAAAAGGGTGCCTCGGATCCTGGCTGTTTGTAACAGCTTCTGACATTCCTCTAGCACTAGGGAGCTTGCCTGGAACAGAAAATGTCCGGAGCTGAAACCAAGGTAAGTTTATTTGCAGCCTATTTGTTATCATGGCTAAAAGCCCTTGCTAGTCTTTTCCCAGATCTTAGCTGTCTCCTCTAGGTGTGGCTCTGTGAGAGGATGGAGTTGAACATGGTGACTGGTGAGAGCATACTTAAAGGTGCACCAAGGCCTAATGCCTTGCACATTAGTGGTGGAGGCTGCTGTGCCAGCAGCAAACCTGACGAGCTGCGTTTGCAGAGCAGAGTCTTGTGGAAGGCTTCCTTGGGATGACCTGAGTCCGTGTTGGGTACCCTCCACTTTCCCCTTCCATGGTGGAGCAAAAGGTGTGCTGTGACAGAAAGATGCCTGTATGATGACCACAGCACTGAAACCAGTAACATTCTCAGAGAGATGCAACTGGCCTTGTTTTGGTAGAATCAGAGGTGAGTTTAAAGTGGAGAAGGAGATGCATCAGAAAGTTCAGCTTCAAGGGTGTGCATCAGATTGCAATCCAGCTCTATTGCTGTGTTCTTCAGCATTGATGTTAGCAGAGCTAAGCTGTTTGGTCACGCAGACCTTGTTGCAAGGTTGGGACTAGGCAGGAATAAACAGCTGGGAAAGGAGGGCAAGAACTTTAGCTAGTGGCCAGTTCCTCCTGTCAAATATTAAACATCAGTTAAGAGGCTGTGGTCAGATGTACATCTTTCCATTGTATGAGTTGCTGTCGCATGACATTCCTTCGGTAAATTCCTCCACGGTGCTGGGACTGTAAGACCCAAGGTAGCAGAAGGCTCAGAAGCGGAGTGGTGTGTAGGCATTGTCTGATGTCTACGGAAGATCTGGGATCAGTCTCTGCTTCCCTGTGCCTTTCATCTATGATCTTGGCTCAAAGTGATTTGGCCATTTATGAGCAGTCTTTAGAAACTGAGGATGGATGTGCTGCTTGCTTCTAATCTGCTGGTTGTCAGATTGCAGTGGTACAGTCTTTATGTACCTGTGCATAAAGAAGGTATTGGGGAACTGCAACTGATTCATGCTGGAGTCTCCTGTCTGCTTGAAGAGACCCAAACACATCCTGCCTTTACCCCTGCTAAAAGCCATGTCCCTGTTGAGTGTGCTACGGGGAATTAATTATGTGGTGCAACAAAATGTCCAAGGAGACTTAAGTTGGTGAAAGAGTGTGAACCTCCTCTTTTCTCTATGCCATGCTCTTATCTAGCACGTCCCAGGAAGAAGAGGGCAAAGGGAATAATTACACACTCTTTCTCACAACCTGAGCAAGCAGTGTGCCCTAGAAAGGGAGTTGCTGCCTCCATGCTGCTTACTTAGAGGGCACTGGTAGTTATTGTTTATGAGCTTGCTTCTAACAGAGCTACTGTTGGGAAGAAATATGGTAACTGCTATGAGGAGGCCAAAGGAGTAAGAGTTTTACAGTCCTGTAAGGAAGATGTGTTATGGCAAATCTGTTATCTGCCAGGTAAGCCCCAAAAAGCAAGTTTGGGCAGAGTGGTTAACAGGTTAGCACTGTAAGGAGAGAAACTTGATGGCTTTCCTGTAGGAAGGTGATTTGTGTTGGAGGACGATGTGACTGAAATGAACTGATGAATCTGGAATTGAAATCTGTAATTCACCTGTCATTATGCTGCGGGTGAGAAATGTCAGTCGGGTCTGCTTGAGACTGAGCTGCTGGGGGAAAACTGAGGAGTGCCAGGTGTGAGGGTCTTGAATGAACTGAGGTGTGTGTGCAAAGGGCTGTGGTGGAGAACTGGGTGGGCAGGAGCCCTGTCCTTAAGTCTTCCTATAAATGAGCTAGGAATAAAACAAACAACACTTGTTTGGTCACTGTGCTGTGGGAATGGCCATACTCTTAATGTTCTCTTGGATTTTTTTCACTTTGTGGCTTTATAAGTACAGGGAAACAATGAAGTTCAGTACTGTGTCAGGCTAGGTGGAGAAGAAACATCAAATGAGCTTTTCTGTTACAAAACTAAAGGCCAACTTAACCAACTTCATGCACAGCTGCTGTGATAGGAGCTGATTCTGCTGGATGTCAGCCACAAAATCAAGGCAGCTTATGCAGAACCAGGACCAGAGGTGATGGAGACCCATTCCTTTCCCACTGCCAACTACTGGAGGAGGCATCCCTCTGCCCAGGCAGAGTACTGCCTGCATGGAGACCAGACCTGTGGTCTTACAGATGTTGGGCAGAGTTCATCATTAACCCTGCTGGAGCCTCACCGCATGAACAGCGGTGGGACTGCAGAGCTTGGGGAGTGAGGCTGAACAGGGGAAGATGCTGTAGCTTCCTCGACCACTGGCTTCAAGAAGAGGATTACTGACGATGAGTGGCTGCCAAGCTTCCATGAGCAGGGCTTTCAGTGTTGCTTCTGGGCTCATGCTGGTAGATCTTTCAGGGGACACCTCTAGGGACAAAGATCCAGAAGCAGGATCTGTAAAGCAACAGCAGGGCTGTGGCTGGCAAGGGCCGAGCAACATAGTTAGTGTGGGCACAGAGGGGTTGGACATTTTAGTGCACACCTTTTACAACTTTTATTCATTTCATGGAAAGACAGTGGTCTCCCAACTCTCTATCACACTGAAGATGGGAAGAGCTTACTCAGGAGGGAGAGACATGGGGACAGGTTATCCAGTCCATCTGCTAGTTGGCTCCCTTGGCCATAATTTAGTAACTACTGATCTAGACAAAGTGGGATAGAAATGTATTAATAGTGTTTTGCTGCTGTCTGGGGCTTCACCAAGGGAGTTTTGGGTTGGACTGGAACAGAATTAGATGCTGGGAAGGGTAAGACATTGGTGGCAGACTGAAGTCATTGGGAACACACTGGTGAATCTGCTGCCAGGGTTAGATGGGATGGAGTTCATCCTGCTCAATGCTTGGGCTCCATGACCTTTTAGCATCTTGAGGGCTTTGTTTTCAGACATTTCATGTCATGATGTGGCTAGAATATGGCTGCAAGCATGTGCTGGGGGACAAGGAACCTCCCTGCCTTCCTTCCTCTGCTTGTGTTTCAGGTCACCTTCTATGAAGACAAGAATTTCCTAGGCCGTAGCTATGAGTGTGACGGTGACTGCCCTGATTTTCACACCTACCTGAGCCGCTGCAACTCCATCCGTGTGGATGGAGGTGCCTGGGTGGCCTATGAGAGGCCCAACTTTTCTGGGAACATGTATGTTCTGACACAAGGGGAGTATCCTCATTACCAGCACTGGATGGGCCTGAACGACCGCCTTGGCTCCTGCAAAGCCATTCAGATAGTAAGTGTGACTTCTTCTCAAGGGACATCTTAATTTGCACACCTATAATTAAAAGGTTTCAGTATGTTTGTGGGTGCTCCCTTGGGGAGGATGGCTATAGGGGGCTTGTTCCTGCAGTCCTTCTCTGGGAATAGCAAGGTGTTTGGTGGAGTGAAGAACTCTTGGCTACAGTGGGGAAAAAACAGATGCCTTGGAGTGCTTTGTAGGTGAGTTTCCATAGGAACAGCAGCATAGTTTTATCTGTGTGTTCCTCTAGGGACTTCAGTGTCCAGGCAGGTCACTCCAAGGTTTGCCTCTTGTTTTCTCCCTGAAGAAAGATGGTGGATACAAGGCTTGTAACAGTGGGATGCAGATTTTGCAGGAGCACTTGGAATGAGGGGCAGTTTATTTGCCCCTGCAGCAAGCCAGGGCTCCCTTCTAATACAGGGAACCAACTCTCAGTACCAGGAAGCCCCTCTGGGCATGGGGATAATGGGCCCAGTAGCAGACCTGGAGTGACTGGGATTGGGAGTGCCTGAAGTCCTCCATAGGCATGCTTGGAGCAGCCCTGTGTCACCTGGTATTAGGAGAGCACAGGGCAATGCATATCTCCCTGCCGCAGTAACTGTGCTCATCCCCTCCTAACTGGGGATGAGAAGATGCTTCTGCAGCCTCTGTCAGCACATGTCCTTCCACCAGCAGGAGACGGGATAAATATGGGTTTATCCATCCCACAGTGTTTACACTCTGTGGAAGCACTGGCGGGGAGAAAGGAACAGAGGGAATGATCCCTTTGGGAAGCCTATAGAGAGAAGCACACTTTAAAACTGGCAGGGATGGGAGTGTAGATGGAGCGTGAATTGGGGTTGAGACTGTTGAGTGCTGCTGCTGTGGTTTTGCCAGCAGCAGGGCAGACATTGGTGATCTGTGCATTGGTGTCTTGAGTAGCAAGTCAGCATGGAGCAGGTCTCGCAGCTGAGAAGGGGTTTTGCTTTTATGCCTGAAGTCTTTTCTGGGTTTGAGCTAGGTCTAAATCCCTTTGCACAGGGCAGGAAGAGTTTCCAGCCAGTTCAGAACACAGGTCTGGCAATAAAAGATGGAACCAAAACACCCATCAGGATGGAATGCAGAGGCCTTATCCTGCATGTCCACCTGGTGCCAGGCTTCCCCTCCTGAGCCTGGGGATGGTGCATGGGGACCTGCTCATTGCAGGTGTTGAGTCAGAGCATCCCAGTGGCAGTGAGGAGACCCTGCAGAGCTCGGCTGGGGCTGGCAATGAGAGCAGACTTGGGTGGATGGGGGGAAGTGGAGGATAGGCGGTGTCCAGGCAGCTGAAGATTAAACCTGCAGTGCCTTCAGGCAACGCAGCGCTTCAAATCACAGTGGAAAATACCCACGCTGTGTTCGCCTGTAATACAACTCAGCCGGGGTCACCAGCTCATTAAACTCCTCGTTGCCTGGAGGAGCGGGGACTGCAGGGGGTCCGGCTCTCCTGATGCTCACGTGGAGTGGCTGAAGGGTCAGACCAGCAGCAGGATAGGCAGGCTGCCTGGGGTGGAGAGCCTAGCGCTTGCTGACTTGGCCTTATCCTTCCCTGCCGCCTTCCTCCCTGCCAAAGTGGGGCTGTGGTGTGGGTTTGAGCTGAAACTGCTGTGCTCGGTGCTTTTGTGTCTTTGCATGTGATGCCCACGCAAGAGTTATCCCGACTGCCTCCCCACTGTGCTTCTGGGGGGCTGTTTAACCCTGTCCTGGTGTGCTGGGGGAGTGGTTTGTACCTGGTCTGAGTCTAATCGTGCCTCAGCTCTGCTCTCATCTGCTGGAGCGAGGTTCTGTCATCTGTCAGAGATGTACGGGTGCCCCTCTCCAGCTCTCTGCCATTTTCTCTCCTTTTCCTCTAGCCAAGTGGAGGCCGGGGCCACATCCAGGTATTTGAGAAGGGAGATTTTGGTGGGCAGATGTTTGAAACCACCGAAGACTGCCCTTCAGTCTTGGAGGAGTGGCACATGCGTGAGGTCCATGCCTGCAGAGTGCTGGAGGGCGTCTGGGTTTTCTATGAGCACCCCAACTACCGGGGCAGGCAGTACCTGCTGCCCAAGGGGGAGTACCGCAAGCCTGTGGAGTGGGGAGCGGCCGGCCCCACTGTCCAGTCCTTCCGCAGCATCGCCCAGTGAGGAGCCCATTCACTCAATAAACCAACTAAGTTGCTCAGCTCAGCCTGGCCTGGTCTGTGTGTGAGTTATCCTGCCTCAGAGGAGGTGGCATGGGCCTGAGCCTTCTCTAAGCAAAGCACAACTGTCTATGCTGTCATCTTTTTCCTCCAGTCTGGCCCCATCCCCTCCATCCCACTGCTCCTCCCTAAGGAAAAACAATCTCAAAGTTGGAGCTTGGGCTCCAGCATTTGGCCAGGCCAGTGAAGCAGCTGGACCACTTCAGGTTTTGGTGCTGGCTGTGGCAGTTTCAGCCTGTCATGATCCTGTGGAATCCCTGCTTGCTGCTCTGCTGCTCTGTGGTGGCTTAGGAGAAGGGGCTGCTGATGGCTGGGGAGAAGGGATGAGGTTTACATCCATGCCACATGCAGTGAGACCTCCCCAGGGAAGCTGAGCAGGCAGCAGATTTCCTGTTGCTGGAGAAGCATGGGGCAATGGGACTCTGAGGAAAGTGGAGGTGTAAGAGACAGGGATCCCAGAGCAGGAAGAAGGGGGATGGCTGCAGTCTCGATGGGGGATGCTGGGCCAGATGCAGCATCCAGATCCTCAGGAAGCAAGCCAGAGTGTCATAGGTGTGAGACAAGGGATCCAGCTGCTTAAAAGGGGGTAAAGCACTGCATCAAGATGGGCAGCTGGAAGAGGAAGAAGAGGTTGTGAGGGGACAGATAAAGTGAGTGCTGCTGAAAGCTGCCCTGGGATGGGGTGTTGCTGCTGAATCATCTGGAAGGGTGGGAATTGGTCCCTGGGCACTTGAGACATGCAGAGAGCTCACAGTCAGCCCAGTTTGCTGCCAGCTGGAGCATGAATTTGCCCAGTGCTGTTAGATGTCAGGCTGGGTCCATGCTATGGGCAGGAATAACTGATATCTGCTGTGTAGGGTACTCTCCTCCTGGGTACCCTGGGGACCTGCAGCCTGTTTGCATATCAAACCAAGGGACCTTGGGATAATGACGCTGGACATAGAAGTAGAGCCCTTCTAGCCATACTCCGTGGTCTCTTTGCGGTTGATGTATGAGGTTATTATGGAGCAGGGAAGCAGGTTAAGTGATGCTTGTCAAGTTGTGGTGCCGTGACCCCTGAGAACGCAGCTGCAGGAAGGGAATGGGAAGAGGCTGCTGAGAGGGGCTTCCGCCAGCACAAAGGTGGGCTGCAGAAAGTTGCCTTCCTCCTCCTGCTGTGACCCTGCAGTTCACGCTCCGGCTTTAGCCCCCTGCCCTGTTTCAGCCCTTTGCTGCAAGGGGTGATGCATCCTTGTGACCAGCTTCTGTCCCACCTTGCCTTTCTCCTCTATCACCTCTCCATCATGGGTCAGCAGGATGCAGGCGATTTGACATTACAGTTGTGCCTTTGGTGCATTATTTCTCCAGGACCAAACAGCCCTGCCAGCATCAGCTTCAGCTCCCCTTTTTCCCCTGGCTCCTGGCACAGCTCTCCAAGAGCTGCTGGCTCCTGCCCATGCAAAGCACCAGCTTGAGCATGGCCTTGGCCACCAATTTCTATGGGGAGCCTGTTGCCACCCCTGTTTGGGAAGGAAAATCTTCCGCAGGTAGGCATGCTCTGGCCAGTGCATTTCCACCTGATTTTGGGGTATGTCTGCCTGAATGCTGTGCTTCCCCATCCTGTGGTGCGATTTGTTCCCCCCTGCAACAGGTGCTGGGGCTGCAGTGGACAGGTTTGAGGTGCTGCAGCCCTGTGGCTGCTGGTGTACATCCACCCCAGAGCCCTTACACCAACATTTCCTCCCTGCATCCTTCCCTTACCTCACTTGATCTACCCACTGTAAAAACACAATTATCCCAACTCTTTCCCCCTGCCTTCCTCCTCCGCTGGGCTCTTGCCCTCTGGTGAATTTTGCATTGTGCCCTGGACGATGGCAACCAACACGAATAACAATAAAATATGCTAGTTTGGTGGTGGGGTTTTCATTATTATTATTTTTTCTTATTTTATTATTATTCTAGATTACTTTTTCCTTCGGGGGCTCCCTCGTCACGGCTGCACACAGAGCAGACTGCATATGGATGTGAGCGGGGAGCACAGGCAATCCAAACCCAGCCTGCTGATGCTGTTTCTTGCTTGACAGCTAATTTCCATTCCTCAGTATCAGGGGGTCTGCTCCAGTAATTGGCATGCAGATTGTGTCTGATGGGCCTGTTAGACACGAGAAAAGACTCTGCTAGTTAGAATAAGCCAACCCCAGGCTGATGGATGGGGTGTAAGGAGGTCATTGCAAGAGAGAATATACCGTATGCACCTACAAAATTTCACATCTTGTGCCCTCCCCCCATTCCTACTTTCTTTATCCAACAAACGCTAATCTATCATATTTCATTGAGACAAATCCTGCTCCATTTCTCTCTCTTCCCCTTTTTCCCTTTAAGGGAAATGTGATGGAAACTACTCCTGGATTTAATAAGAAGATGGTGCGGCATAGCAGGAATTAAAGCAGTGCTATGCTTCATTAGCAGCTAGGGATCACACCGAGCTGCCCCAAATGTTAATTACAATTTGGGAATTAATTGGTATGAGGCGTTCCTCTCCTCTGTCATCCGTAATCTGGTGGCTGTGTGAGGACTTCTGGAAGTGGAGAACTCCCATCCTCAGCCTGATAGGTGCTGGCTGTGAAATCTTAAAGACACCTTCATTGCAATGAGGGTGGTAAAACACTGGCACAAGTTGTCAGAGAAGGGGTGGATGCACATCCCTGGAGACACTCAAGGCCAGGCTGGATGTGGTTCTGAGCAACCTGATTTAGATGAAGATGTCCCTGCTCATAGCAGGGGGGCTGGCCTAGGTGAGCTTTGAAGGCCCTTCCAACCTCACCTATTCTATAATTTCCAGCCCCTTGGTGCCCAAAGACCCACTGCTAATTTTATCTGTTTTCCTCCCTGTGCCACTCTTTGAGACTTTTTCTCCAGCTGCTGGGAAGGGGAAGATGGAAAGATTGGAGAATGGTGGGAGGTGGTACCTCTTAGAATGAGGAAAGACAGCCTCCCTCGAAGCTAGACCCCAGGCTGCCCTGTATGAAGTCTCTCTCTGTCTCCCAGACCTATCCCTTCCCTCTAGCTCTGGGTACAGCCCCATGCTGTTTCCTTGCACCACAAGGGAGAGCCTCAATCTGTCCCTGCAGCATCTCTCTGCTGCAGTTCTTGAAGCAAAATTGTCCCCACTTTCTTCCCTCCTTTTCTCCACCTTGAATTCAGCTTGATGAAATGCAAAAGCTTCTAAAACGCTGGGTGGGGAGGAGGGAGCTTTTTGCCAAAGGGCAGAAATGGTATGCTTGGAAATGAAGAATATTCCTCTGAATTATCACCAATTTGTTCCTTTTCTGAGCTGCCAATACCTGGGTGGTGTTCAAAGGTCTTCACTAGTGGTTACAGCACATACAGTAGTTTTGCAAGTGTGGCCCTTCCAGACAACCTCTTTGCCTCTGTTTAATGTGTGAACCACCATAGACATCCCCTGCTCACAGCAGCTGAAATGCAAAGGTTGCACAGAGCAAAAGGTTTCAGGAAGTGATACTCAAGACTGCCTCTCTCTGTCCATTCTGCTTTGAGATTTGGGGTAAAGCCTGGCCCAGCTTTGGCTGCGCAGAGCTTTCAAGCTGTGCACAGCCAGGTGCAATAGCAGAGCCAAACTACTCTATCTCACACGAGTCACACATGACATATGCATGTCCTCCAGACCCCTCTGGTTTCTGCCCACTGTCACGGGTGACCTCTTGGCCAGATGTGCTGGCCATTCCCACATCTGTGGGCCTCTCTGGGACATGCGAGTAGTGACAAGGGATCACGGGGAAGCTCTGTCACACCAACCTGGGGCTCTGCAGCTCTCCCAGAACTGCAAAGGGAGGCGAGGAAAGGCCCTGCCCAGGGCATCAGCCTTCCCTGTGACAGTGCCCAGCAGAGGGCAATAGAAGCAAATGGAAGAGACGAGACGTTCCAAGTGATATGCAAGAGGAGCAGTTTTCGCGAGGAGAGCGATGTACAGGCAGAGTGATGTGCAGACAGTGATGTGCAGTGGGAGCTGCATTTGAGGGGTGCTTGAGAATGAGGTCACAGCAAAACAGAGCAATTCAAAGATATTTTGGTAGGAGTTAAAGCAGAACAATTCTTTCCTTAAGTCCTTAAGGAATTGCTTTGTGTTTGGATGGAGAAGAAAGGTATTTAACCTTTTTGTTTAAACTTTTTTTTTAATTTTAGGTCAGTTTTTATGCGAAAAGTGCTGCCAGGACAGGCATGGCGGAGCATCTCCAGTGACTGGTGCTGGAAGGAAAAGCTATGAGAGATGATAGAATCACAGACTGTTTCCGGTTGGAGCGGACCTTAAAGCTCATCCAGTTCCAACCCCACTGCTATGGGCAGTGACACCTCCCACTAGACCAGGTTGCTCCAAGCCTTGTCCAGCCTGAGCCTGAACACTGCCAGGGATGGGGCAGCCACAGCTTCTTTCCCAGCACTGATTATATTCCACATGGTCAATTTGTGTGACTGAGCTGAGCTCAGTTTCTGCGTCTCTTTCTGGATGCTCTGGTCTCTTGACGTAGACATCAGATTCTGCCATAGCCATATGTGTCTGGAGATTTTGGGCACTGACCTCTGCCTGCAGTGTCCCTTTCTGCCCATTTTTTGTTTGTCCCAAACTGCTTGGAATTACAAAGGCAAGCAAGGAAAGCTTTTTATGTCAGGAGTGTGATCCCACAGATGTCCTCCCAGCCAGGACAAGACATCTGCACAAACACCAGAAGGAAATCTTTTCTGGCAGTATTCCCACCTAGGTGCAAGGATGAGACCTGGTCTTTTTTATTTTTGGAAAAAATAAAGCAATTATTAGAAAAGGAAGGGCAAGATCCATGTGGACACACAGAGAGCTGTGTGTGCTGGGGAGCATTGCCCTGCCTGGATGCAGGGTGTTCAGGGGGCAAGACACCCCAGCAAGTAGCTGGAGACATTATTTGGGCAAAGCCCTACATCACGGTGCTACTGCTGAAATGTGGAGCTGGGGGC